CTTTTTGAACTCCCCCACCTTCTGTGCTCCTTTAATCCCCTTCTCTCCCTCGTTCACCCTCCTCCCATTCCCCTCCCTCTCCCTTAACTTTTCTCTTTCCCGCTCTGCCTGCCTTCTTACACGCAAATATCCCTATATTCGCTCATTTCCCCCACTTTAAGCCTTTCATCTGCCCCCTCCTACCTCCCTTCTATTCCTTTTTGAACTCCCCCACCTTCTGTGCTCCTTTAATCCCCTTCTCTCCCTCGTTCACCCTCCTCCCATTCCCCTCCCTCTCCCTTAACTTTTCTCTTTCCCGCTCTGCCTGCCTTCTTACACGCAAATATCCCTATATTCGCTCATTTCCCCCACTTTAAGCCTTTCATCTGCCCCCTCCTACCTCCCTTCTATTCCTTTTTGAACTCCCCCACCTTCTGTGCTCCTTTAATCCCCTTCTCTCCCTCGTTCACCCTCCTCCCATTCCCCTCCCTCTCCCTTAACTTTTCTCTTTCCCGCTCTGCCTGCCTTCTTACACGCAAATATCCCTATATTCGCTCATTTCCCCCACTTTAAGCCTTTCATCTGCCCCCTCCTACCTCCCTTCTATTCCTTTTTGAACTCCCCCACCTTCTGTGCTCCTTTAATCCCCTTCTCTCCCTCGTTCACCCTCCTCCCATTCCCCTCCCTCTCCCTTAACTTTTCTCTTTCCCGCTCTGCCTGCCTTCTTACACGCAAATATCCCTATATTCGCTCATTTCCCCCACTTTAAGCCTTTCATCTGCCCCCTCCTACCTCCCTTCTATTCCTTTTTGAACTCCCCCACCTTCTGTGCTCCTTTAATCCCCTTCTCTCCCTCGTTCACCCTCCTCCCATTCCCCTCCCTCTCCCTTAACTTTTCTCTTTCCCGCTCTGCCTGCCTTCTTACACGCAAATATCCCTATATTCGCTCATTTCCCCCACTTTAAGCCTTTCATCTGCCCCCTCCTACCTCCCTTCTATTCCTTTTTGAACTCCCCCACCTTCTGTGCTCCTTTAATCCCCTTCTCTCCCTCGTTCACCCTCCTCCCATTCCCCTCCCTCTCCCTTAACTTTTCTCTTTCCCGCTCTGCCTGCCTTCTTACACGCAAATATCCCTATATTCGCTCATTTCCCCCACTTTAAGCCTTTCATCTGCCCCCTCCTACCTCCCTTCTATTCCTTTTTGAACTCCCCCACCTTCTGTGCTCCTTTAATCCCCTTCTCTCCCTTCTCCCATTCCCCTCCCTCTCCCTTAACTTTTCTCTTTCCCGCTCTGCCTGCCTTCTTACACGCAAATATCCCTATATTCGCTCATTTCCCCCACTTTAAGCCTTTCATCTGCCCCCTCCTACCTCCCTTCTATTCCTTTTTGAACTCCCCCACCTTCTGTGCTCCTTTAATCCCCTTCTCTCCCTTCTCTCCCTCGTTCACCCTCCTCCCATTCCCCTCCCTCTCCCTTAACTTTTCTCTTTCCCGCTCTGCCTGCCTTCTTACACGCAAATATCCCTATATTCGCTCATTTCCCCCACTTTAAGCCTTTCATCTGCCCCCTCCTACCTCCCTTCTATTCCTTTTTGAACTCCCCCACCTTCTGTGCTCCTTTAATCCCCTTCTCTCCCTCGTTCACCCTCCTCCCATTCCCCTCCCTCTCCCTTAACTTTTCTCTTTCCCGCTCTGCCTGCCTTCTTACACGCAAATATCCCTATATTCGCTCATTTCCCCCACTTTAAGCCTTTCATCTGCCCCCTCCTACCTCCCTTCTATTCCTTTTTGAACTCCCCCACCTTCTGTGCTCCTTTAATCCCCTTCTCTCCCTCGTTCACCCTCCTCCCATTCCCCTCCCTCTCCCTTAACTTTTCTCTTTCCCGCTCTGCCTGCCTTCTTACACGCAAATATCCCTATATTCGCTCATTTCCCCCACTTTAAGCCTTTCATCTGCCCCCTCCTACCTCCCTTCTATTCCTTTTTGAACTCCCCCACCTTCTGTGCTCCTTTAATCCCCTTCTCTCCCTCGTTCACCCTCCTCCCATTCCCCTCCCTCTCCCTTAACTTTTCTCTTTCCCGCTCTGCCTGCCTTCTTACACGCAAATATCCCTATATTCGCTCATTTCCCCCACTTTAAGCCTTTCATCTGCCCCCTCCTACCTCCCTTCTATTCCTTTTTGAACTCCCCCACCTTCTGTGCTCCTTTAATCCCCTTCTCTCCCTTCTCCCATTCCCCTCCCTCTCCCTTAACTTTTCTCTTTCCCGCTCTGCCTGCCTTCTTACACGCAAATATCCCTATATTCGCTCATTTCCCCCACTTTAAGCCTTTCATCTGCCCCCTCCTACCTCCCTTCTATTCCTTTTTGAACTCCCCCACCTTCTGTGCTCCTTTAATCCCCTTCTCTCCCTCGTTCACCCTCCTCCCATTCCCCTCCCTCTCCCTTAACTTTTCTCTTTCCCGCTCTGCCTGCCTTCTTACACGCAAATATCCCTATATTCGCTCATTTCCCCCACTTTAAGCCTTTCATCTGCCCCCTCCTACCTCCCTTCTATTCCTTTTTGAACTCCCCCACCTTCTGTGCTCCTTTAACCCTCCCTTCTCTCCCTCGTTCACCCTCCTACCTCTCTCCCATTCCCCTCCCTCCCCCTTCACTTTTCTCTTTTCCGCTCTCCTTTCCTTCTCATTCGCAAATATCCCTATATTCGCTCATTTCCCCCACTTTAAGCCTTTCATCTGCCCCCTCCTACCTCCCTTCTATTCCTTTTTGAACTCCCCCACCTTCTGTGCTCCTTTAATCCCCTTCTCTCCCTTCTCCCATTCCCCTTTTCTCTCTGAACCCCCGCTCACTCTCCTCTTCCTCTCCCTTTTCTCCTCTAAGTCCCCTTCATTTCCCCCTATCTAAGTTCACTTCCTTTCTTCCCCCTTTTCTTCTCTGCGTCCCCTTTCTCCTTTCTCTTCCGACTTTCCTTCTTAACTTCGCCTCTCGGATAGTTGCGTAAGTAGTATATGTGCATAAACTGGCAGTCTACTACAATACAGTGGGTACTTACCTCGCACTCATACAATAATCCAGGCGGAACGTACGGAAGAACGGACAAAACAAGCAGAATATAGGTAATGATGATAATGATAATAATATCAGTAATGACAATGGCAATGTCAGAAATGATGAAAATGATAATGATAATAAAATAATGATTCTGAATGTTAGAAATAATGAGTCAGAGTAGGATTCAGATTGAATTGTAATATAATACCCTTATGTACGGTATGTGTAAGTGTAATACTTTAATGTTTATGTTGTCATTTATCACTCCGTTTACATAAATTGAAGAGACTTGAACTTTGGAGTCCACAGTTACAGTGTAATATGATTTTTGAAATACGATGTGAAACGTGACGTGCGAACGGACAGATGAAACGCAAACCCAACTATGATATTTTTTCAGTAATCCAGAGACTGAAATTTCCTTGTATTTTCTTTGATTTCATTCACTCGCGACCGCTCATTTGCCGGCTACCCGTTTTCTACCATTAATGTTTGGTATTACTCTCATTTCTGAGGCTATGAGGCTTGGTGATGATAGCGATGTGGCTGTAGGTCGCTAGTAAGAACTATTTTTTTCCAAAATAATTCAAGCATGCATCTCAAGCTATTGCAATTCGTGAATTGTGAGTGAAGATTGTTCATGATTCATGCCCACCTACCCGACTGCCACTCGCATGCGAAAAGTACCCGAGAAAATTGCCAAAGGTTGATTGAGTTTCCATGGTAACGAATAGTTGCATTTCCTAACTTTCTAAATGTTTATATGACTAGACAAAGAAAAAGAAACTGCATCAAAACATGAAATGTTCTTTCTTATTATTTCTATTTATGTTTTCTTAATATTTTACAAGGATTGCCATCATTTGGTGCAGTATGTTTACATATGTCTTCATACACACACACTCACTCACATACATATGTACAAATATGTATTATATAAATACATCACTTGAGTTTCAGGGGTTCTGTTAATAAGGTTTGGGTATCGTTACTATGAATATTCTCATATCTATGTATATATGTATACACACACACACATATACATGCATACAGACACATATACATATACATACATATGTATATGTATATGTGTACACACACACACATGCATATATATGTACACACACATATATAGATATGTGTGTGCATATATGAGTGTCATAAATGATGTATACATTGCATGAGTGAATCAACAGACACATAAGGAGGCAAACTCACTCAAACACATATTTATGTACATATACATAGTGTATATATGTATATATATTTATGTACAGATAGCTGGATAGACAAATATAGATATGAGTATAGTTAAACATATATAGATATCGATATAGATATGCCAAATAATATGTATACATTGTTCACTATGTGCATTTATATTAGATATATGTCATATATGCGTGTATATATATATACGTACATGCATACGCATGTGCGTGTTTGCACATATGAATATATGTATTTGCTTTATCTAATGCGTTTAGCATGCATTATATATATATACGTATACAATATTCATAAGTTTATAGTATATGTATTGTATTTATGATGGATGGAACACATTTGTATATATGTATTTAAATATGTGTATACAAATATATACATAAATACATGCACACACACGTGTATATATATATATATATATATATATATATATATATATATGTGTGTGTGTGTGTGTGTGTGTGTGTATATATGTGTGTGTGTTCGTTTTGCGAACAGCCAAGATATATATCTTCATGTAAAGATATGCATATTCCTGTTCATAACGAGATCAATAAAGGGCCAATGACTAAGACACCTACCAAAAACTTCCTGGAGGTGGGTCCTTCATCACATGCGCACGTATCCTACTAAAAGCGTTTCTATTTTCGTACTGTATCGTCGGCGTTCTTTCAAGGTCCTGTGTGGGAACAGGTATATAAGGAGCCAGACGCATTGCCAGACTCACACCGTCCTGTTCCGTCTCACCAATCCTGCAGAGATGAAGTACTTGGTGGGTAGACTTTCAGCGTGTTCACTCTTCAGCGAATAGGATTAATGGTGTTAGTTTTGCACTGCGATGAAACTCCATATATGATTTCTTATTCAATTTTTGTGTTCCTTCAGTTGTTTGTGCTCCTGGTGGCTGCCGCTTGCGCTTCTGAGGTGGAGAAGCGAGAGGCGGAGCCAAGCCGTGCCTACAACTATGGCTACGGTGTCCACCACCACGCCTACTACCCCCGTACCTACTACCACCCTTACCACACCTACCACAAGAGGTCCGCCGAGCCTGAGGCTGAAGCCGAACCCTCTTACGGTTCCTACCATTACCGAGGCTACTACCGTCCCTATTCCTACGGCTACCACAATACTCCCTACGTCCACCACCACCACAAGAGGTCCGCCGAGCCTGAGGCCGAAGCAGAGCCCTCTTACGGCTCCGTCCACTACTACCGCCCCTATTCCTATGGCTACCAACCACACCACTATACTCCCTCCGTCCACCACCACCACAAGAGGTCTGCTGAACCCGTTGCTGAGGCTGAAGCCAACTACGGTTACAGGTCATACCAGCCCGTGTACCCTCGTTACTACCACTCCTCCCACTACTCTCCCTACGCTCACAGCCACCACAAGAGATCTGCCGAGCCAGGAGCTGATGCTGGAGTCAGCTATGCTCATCACCACCAGTACCAGCCCGTTCACTACCATGGAGTTCACTATGGTTACGGCTACTAGGCTCACTACTTAGGCACTGGGAGTTTATGTTCTGATTTTATCTATAAGAGCTTTATTTTAAAGATAATAAAGAAGTCGTAAAGACTTTCTAAATCAATCATGTTCATCATTTAAGAATCCTTAATACAAAATTTATTGTGAAAGTGAATAGATGTACAAAACAACAATACGACATAAATGCACAACATAAAAATAGACAACACAAACATACATACGAATAAAGAAAAAACGACCAAAGCCATTCCACCCATACATCCTTCCTTCGATCCAAAGATAGAAACAGCCTCATCCTTCAGTCGCCGGCCTCGTACAGCATCGTCAGGTGATTGGAAACGCGAGTGGAAGTCGAGAAGTGCCAGTGCCATCGCCCTCAAGCAGTGCCACAACTCGGAAGGGATATAATGCTGAGATTTGATGTATCATTTTCATATTTATGATTATCTTGCTGGAGGAGCGAAGTGAACTTGGAAGCAAGCCTGAAGTAACTATAATCATAGGGAAACTATAATGTTAGCAGCTACACATTTGTAATTAGAATCTAATTGAATTTCAGGTACTTTAGAAATGTTCTTGCAGTTGCACATTAATTGTTTGGAAGCATGATCATCAAAACCAATGGAACTGCTCGAGGCAAGCTAAGCAGCATTACATATATCTAGCATTTGTTTCCAGCCACGAGGATTTATTCTGGAGACGACCATGAGAAGAAACGTCATGAAACACCGACTGCTATTCTTGTAACTGTAACCGGCATTAAAAAATAAACAAATAAAGTAATCGTAATTATTAATGTAATCGACTCAAACCGGTGAAATTTACTCGAGCTTAGCTTGTTGTTATTATTTTTCCCAGAGAAAGCTTAAAGTAGTTCCACAGACTGAAATCTCAATGTGGAAGGCCGTTTCCTACTCACTAGACACGTTTTGTTAGGAAAGGCATCAGGAAGAACTAACAGGCAAAAAAACATTCGGTGCTTGTGTTAGGGTTTGTATTTTCCTACATTTTCATTTCTTTCCTGCCGTCAGTACTGCTAAAGAAGACAAGATGGTTATGGCCAACCTATGATTAGACAGAATAATGAAAATAACGATTGTACATACATTCTACACACACATATATTCATATATATGCATATACATATGTATATATATGTATAGTTATTTATCTATTTTCATATATGTGCACGTACATTCATTTATCCTGTATATATGAATATACACAGATATACGCATATATATGTATATAAGTTTATATATATGTATATGTATATATACTTATATATATGTATATGTATATATACTTAAAAATATGTATATGTATATATACTTATATATATGTATATGTATATACATGTATATGTATATATATGTAAATGTATGTGTATAGATATTACAAACACATGTATGTGTATATATATATATATATTTTTTTTACACACACACTGATATAGATATATATGTAAGTGTGTCTGTATATGTGCATGTGTGTATGTGTATGTGATATACCATGTATATCTATATTTATATATACACTAGTATATGTATATGTATATGTATATATATTGATATATAGATATATGCCGGTCTATATATACATATACATATATATCTATGTATGTATATATACATATATGTATGTGTATATACATGCATGCATACTTGCACACATACAGAGACACATAAATAGACCAACAAATATATATATATACATATATATATACATACATACATATATAAATGTACGTGCATAATGTATATTTATATAGATACATAATATATACATGCCTATTCAAGGACATGCACACATGTATACATACACATAAAAAAACATACGTGCTTATATATACAGGGACATATATAAACCAATAAATAAATGAATACATGCACACACACATATAAACCTGTTTATTAAGATGCATGTGTATATTCATACATAAGTATATATTACACACATATGTATATATACACAAACACACAACTGTTTACCTATATATGTAGAAATATAAATATTACAGACAGATATATATACATATATATATATATATATATATATATATATATATATATTACATATAGATATACACATACATATGTGTGTGCGAGTGTATGTGCGTATGTGTGTGCATGTGACACATCATGCATATCTATATATATATACACGTATATATAGGTATACATGCCTATATATACACATACATATATTCATATATGTATGTAAACGTACATATATACATATATATATATATGTATATATATATATGCATATATATATGTATGTAAACGTACATATATACATATATATGCATATATGCAAAGGTACATAAATAACCAATAGATAAAAGAATATATATACATATGCGTATATATACACATATACATGCCTAAATAAATGCATACATACACAGGTACATAAATAAACCAATGAATAAAAGATACATATATATATATTATATATATAAATCTGCTGTACATCAGTCGATCTGTTTCTTTAGGCGCGTAGAAAGTTTTATATTTTTATAAAATATATATTTTTATTGCGTCAGTCGCAGATGTGCAAGGCTAATTCTTTACTTCAAGGAACACTTAGTCGCTTGTAGGGGATTAATAATGATCAATGATGAAGTCAAGTAATTCCTGGAGGCGTGCCCTTCATATCATGTAGGCGTGTCTTATCCAAAGCCAGTTTCTATTTTTGTAATGTACTGACTTGACGACGTTCTGTCAAGGTCTTGCGTGGGAAGAGGTATATAAGGAGCCGGACGCATTGCTGGAGTCACATCGCCCTGTTCCGTCTCACCAATCCTGCAGAGATGAAGTACTTGGTGGGTAGACTTTCGGCATGATCGGTCTTCTGTGAACATATGTTGTTTGTTTTGTAGAGTGATTTCTAAAATAGGTGTTTAATTTGACACTGTGTACCCTTAGGTGTTTGTGCTCCTGGTGGCTGCCGCTTGCGCTTCTGAAGTGGAGAAGCGAGAGGCGGAGCCAAGTCGTGCTTTAAGCTATGGCTACGGTGTTCACCACCACGCCTACCCCCGCACCTACTACCACCCTTATCACCGTTTCCACAAGAGGTCCGCTGAGCCTGAGGCTGATGCCGAGCCTTCTTATTTAGGCTACTACCGTCCCTATTCCTACGGCTACCACAACACTCCCTATGTCCACCACCACTACAAGAGGTCCGCCGAGCCTGAGGCTGAAGCCGAACCTTCGTACCGTTCCTACCACTACCCAGGTTACTACCGTCCCTATTCCTACGGCTACCACAACACTCCCTATGTCCACCATCACCACAAGAGGTCTGCTGAGCCTGAGGCCGAAGCCGAGCCCTCTTACGGTTCCTACCACTACCCAGGTTACTACCGTCCCTATACACACACACACACACACACACACACACACACACACACACACACACACACACACACACACACACACACACACACACACACACACACACACACACACACACACACACACACACACACACACACACACACACACACACACACACACACACACACACACACACACACACACACACACACACACACACACACACACACACACACACACACACACACACACACACACACACACACACACACACACACACACACACACACACACACACACACACACACACACACACACACACACACACACACACACACACACACACACACACACACACACACACACACACACACACACACACACACACACACACACACACACACACACACACACACACACACACACACACACACACACACACACACACACACACACACACACACACACACACACACACACACACACACACACACACACACACACACACACACACACACACACACACACACACACACACACACACACACACACACACACACACACACACACACACACACACACACACACACACACACACACACACACACACACACACACACACACACACACACACACACACACACACACACACACACACACACACACACACACACACACACACACACACACACACACACACACACACACACACACACACACACACACACACACACACACACACACACACACACACACACACACACACACACACACACACACACACACACACACACACACACACACACACACACACACACACACACACACACACACACACACACACACACACACACACACACACACACACACACACACACACACACACACACACACACACACACACACACACACACACACACACACACACACACACACACACACACACACACACACACACACACACACACACACACACACACACACACACACACACACACACACACACACACACACACACACACACACACACACACACACACACACACACACACACACACACACACACACACACACACACACACACACACACACACACACACACACACACACACACACACACACACACACACACACACACACACACACACACACACACACACACACACACACACACACACACACACACACACACACACACACACACACACACACACACACACACACACACACACACACACACACACACACACACACACACACACACACACACACACACACACACACACACACACACACACACACACACACACACACACACACACACACACACACACACACACACACACACACACACACACACACACACACACACACACACACACACACACACACACACACACACACACACACACACACACACACACACACACACACACACACACACACACACACACACACACACACACACACACACACACACACACACACACACACACACACACACACACACACACACACACACACACACACACACACACACACACACACACACACACACACACACACACACACACACACACACACACACACACACACACACACACACACACACACACACACACACACACACACACACACACACACACACACACACACACACACACACACACACACACACACACACACACACACACACACACACACACACACACACACACACACACACACACACACACACACACACA